TATACATATTACCAGAGTTGGCAAGTAATCCGTCACTTTATTGATCGTTATCTTGTTATAAAAATGATGTGGTGATGACATTGTAAATTTTTTATGACGGTAATGCTAACATCAAAGTTAGAAAAGTCAATCGTTACTCGTAATGAGTTGAAAAAGTCATTCGTTACTGAAAAAAAACTCCTAATTTGTAATAACGCTTTTTACTCGTTATTTGTAACGTTACGCATTATCCGTTACTTATTAATTTTTTCAGTAAGTAACGCATAATGGTGATAAGTTATACTTTTCAAAGTGACTTTTCTAATTTTAGCACAATCTTAGCATTTAGTTAGTTAGCGTTACTGTCATAAAGAATTGCAACATCGTCAGCAAATTGTTTACTATAAAAAGTAATGACAAAGTAACTGAAAAATAACGTTTGTCAACTCTGCATATTACTTAATTATAAATTGTAAATTATAAATTAATAAATTACGAGTTAAAAATAATAAAGTAATGTCATAACTGTAACTAAAAGAATTATCCAAATATTCTTGAAGTCGCGTGCTTCTCTCTCTGAAATATAATAAAGTAAAATTTCTATGAATATTATAACATTTATAAAAAAATTATTAAATGCTATTCCTTTTGCAAAAGGAATTGAAAAGACTGTCGATAAGAAATCGATAAAACGATAAAATAGAAATATTATATTATATTATATATATCGATTTTTAAATACTAACTGTATTATCGAATAAGTGTGATGTCATAATACATCATATTCGCTCGTTATAATAAGAACTAATACAAAAGTAAAATTGTTATAATTAAATCGTAATATTGTAATATTTAGTTAAAAAGTCATGTGGAAATCTCAATGCATAGATGTTAACGCCGCATACGAGTATCATATATATTGTTGTTACACATTATGCTTACCTGTAAAAGCACAGTACACTCGATCTCTATATGCATTTTCGAACATGTTTTATAATATACTAAACAAAGTTGTGAAAATTGTTCTACTTGTAGATCTCATCGAATCAAAATGAATACACATTATATACACATCGCTATGTGTGTCTCTTTCTTTTTTTTCTTATCCATCTATATTCTATCTAATTGTGCAGTGAGAGATGTAAGGCACATGCAGTCAACGAACATAATCGATTTACATATGAAAAAATTCAAGCTTTTAATAAAGAGAGAACAAAGAAAAAAACATATATTTATTCGATGTATAAGTATAAATAATTATAAAGGATAGAGATTTTTAAATAACTTACTAAGTATATAATTATTTTATTTAAAAGAAGAATTCATCACAGTTTATTAAATGCATTGTGTGTGTGTACTGTGATTATATTTATTTTTATATTAAAAAAACAGAGAGAAAGAGAGAATGTCTTGATATAAAATTTATAAAAATTATAAATAA